CATTTGCATCACAGAAATTCAAGTGAGTCATAGAGCGCAGCAGTCATTGGGGTAGAATAATTAATTCGGATCCTTGACATTTTAAGTCCATTATTGTCTTTTTCAACTTCTAGTTTCATTTTTTCTTAAGTGTTTTAGTTCCATTATACATCTAAGTAGTTAATTACATTCTAACTACTTAGTTATAAACATAAGAGCATGACATATTCTTCTTTTGTGTGCTTATTTATGAACTTTTAGAGAATAAGATCCATTTTTAGTATTCTTTGTAGAGTCTTAAAAGACAACCTTGTTTGTCTTGATTCAAGAGATCTAATTCCAACACTCAACTTGACGAAAGAAGACAAGAGAGGTAAACATGAGTGATTGAGAGGGAATGATTTATTTTTTCCATTAACATTTTTTTGAATATATGTCACAGCTTAGTGAAACCAACCGATCTATGACCTTGAAAGAATGTATAGAGGATAGGATGGATGATATGTACAATAGATTGAGCTTAGCCATTGAAGGTATAATAATAAGAATGGATTTGAGAGATGGAGGAAGGAACCGTAGTCATCCCAGACGCTGACACCACCAGGATGATGATGAGTAAAATGACGACAATAGTGAAGTTGATATAAGAAAAATCCAGAGAGAAGATGATGACATCAGATCTATCAAGATGTAGATATCCTATTTCAGAGGAAGGAATGATGCAGAGACCTATCTTGAGTGCGAACGGAAAATAAAGTTGATTTTAGACTGCTACAACTATAATAAAGCTAAGAAAATAAAGCTAACAGTAGTCGAGTTTATAAATTATGCACTTATTTGGTAGGATCAAGTGACCGCCCTCAGAAGAAAAGATAAAAACCAACATGTATCCACTTAGAGAGAGATGAAGTGTATTATGATAAAGATATTTGTCCCATCTTATTATGACATAGAATTGTACTAGAAGCTCCAAAGATTGACCTAGGGATCCCTCTCGGTAAAAGATTACCACTAGGAGATAAAGATGGCAATGATCAGGGCCATAATTTATGAGAGCCTAAAATCCACTATGGCTAGATTTCTGAGTAGTTTGAATAGAGAGATTGCCAATACTATGGAACTGCATCATTACATAGATCTGAATGAGATGGTACATATGGCTATAAAGATTGAGAGATATCTAAAATATAGAGGTTCTTCTAGAAGTAATTCGTAGTCTACTCCTCAGTTTAATTCCAGATAGCCTAAAAAGAAAAAAAGAAAGAAACTTAAAAAAAGGGATGACAAGCCTAACTTTGGCAAATCTAAAGGTAAACCCTAAGCTACCTACTACTACTCAAAGACCAAGTTCTATTAAGTATTTTAGGTGCAATAGAGTTGAACACATCATGTCACAATGCCCCAACAAAAACCTCATGTTGCTGAGAGACGATGACGAGATAAAGACTGCTAGTGAGTATAACACTAATGATGATAGTAGAACATTACTAGATGATTGTGAAGACAATTTAATAGCCCTAGTACAGGGTAAGATATTGGTTATCTAGAGAGACCTAAATATATAATCCAAAGAGACAAACAACGATTAAAAGGAGAATATCTTTCCCAAATGTCATATGAATGAGAATGTATGTAGTCTGATCATAGACGAAGGCAGTTGTGTCAATGTCACTTGTACTTTACTGGTTGATAAGTTAGGGCTATTTTGTATTAAACATTCGAACCCTTATAGACTACATTAGCTCAATGAGTATGGAGAAGTTAGGATACATAAGCAAGTTAAGATTTCTTTCTCCATAGGCAGATACAAAAATGAGGTATACAGTGATGTCATTCCCATGCATGTCAGTCATATCCTGTTTGAATGATCATGGTAGTATGATAGACAGGTATATCACGACGGGTTCAAGAATTAATACTCTTTAGGTCTAAATGACCTAAAACACATTTTGACACCCCTATCTCTAAAAAAGGTCTATGTTAATCAAATCAAAAGTAAGAAATTCTTTGAAGAATATTCAGAAAAAGAAAAAGAAAGAAAAAAGGCAAAAAAGAAAAAGAATGGCCCACCGAGAGAAAAAAGGCTGAAAAAAATAAAAAAAAGTCCACTGAGCATAAAAAAAGCCCAAAAAAATAATAAAAAATACCCATCAAGTGAGAGAGAGAAAAGAAAAGAATGTTTATATGTGAGGGAGAGAGAAATGAGGAGAGTGATACGTGAGAAAAAAAGTTTAATTGTACTTCGGTACAAAGAAGCTTATCTAAATTTTTCTGACCTTAACACTTCTTTGCCTAATTCTATTTTCTCTCTTTTGTAGGACCATAATAGATTCCGGATGGTCTACCACCACTACGAATGATTAAACATCATATTAACTTTATCTTTAGAGCTTCAATTCCCAACCATCCAACCTATCAAAGTAATCCTAGGGAAATAAAGGAACTTCAGCTGCAAGTGGATGAATTGTTAGGTAAGGGATATGTAAGAGAAAGTTTGAGCCCTTGTACTATTCTAGTGTTACTTGTGCCTACGAAAGATGCTCTTCGAGGATGTGTGTGGATTGCCGAGCTGTCAACAAAATTATGGTAAAGTATATACACCCTATCCCTAGGTTAGATGATATGTTGGATGAATTAAGTGGATCTACTGTTTTCACTAAGATAGATCTTAAGAGTGGAAATCATCATATTAGGATGAAACTTGGAGATGAGTGAAAAACTACGTTTAAAACCAAGTATGGGTTGTATAAGTGGTTACTAATGCCTTTTGGGTTATCAAATACCCCTAGCATCTTCATGAGACTTATTAATCATGTTTTACGACCTTTGTTAGGTAAATTTATGGTAGTTTACTTCAATGACATCCTAATTTACAACAAGTCTTTAGAGGATCACCTTCAACATATCCGATATGTCCTTGAGGTCCCTAGGAAGAATAGTTGTATGCCAAGAAGTGTACCTTTTGTAGTGAAAATTTGATTTTTTTAGGATTTGTAGTTCGTGCACAGGGCATTGAGGTAGATGAAGATAAGGTGAAAGCAATCAGATAATGGCTTACTCTAATATCATCCAATGAGGCAAGGAGTTTTCATGATTTAGCGAGCTTCTATCGCAGGTTTGTTAAGGATTTCAGTTCTATAACAGCACCATTGAAGGAACTAGTAAAGAAAAATGTAAAATTTGTATGGATTGAAAAATAAGAGCATATTTTTACTTTATTGAATGATAAATTATGTTATGTACCTATTTTAGCTTTACCTGACTGTAACAAAACTTTTAAGCTTGAATGTGATGCTTTAGGTATTGGTATAAGAGCTGTTCTTATGCAGGAAAGGTGTCCTGTGGCTTATTTCAGTAAAAAACTTAATGGCACACTGTTGAATTACTCAACCTACAACAAGGAGTTATACGCCTTAGTGAGAGGTCAAGGTAAACTTAACTGTTATCATGGTAAGTGGGTCGAGTTTATAGAATTTTTTCCCGATGTAATTAAGTATAAACAAGCTAAGTATAATATTGTTGCTGATGCATTATCTCGCAAGTATGCTTTGATTTCTACACTTAGCTCTAAGTTGTTTAGGATTTTGAGTTTCTGATTGCTAATGTTTATGCGGAGTTTTAGATTCTGTTGTTGATCCCGGGTTCTGCATTAGATGGGGATAAGATGCATCCACATATGAGTACATAATTTTTTGACAAAAAGAGCATCGAACATGTTTAAAAATATAAGTTGATTGGGAATGAAAGGTTAAGTATATTCTAGGTCGTCTTAAAGAAATGAAAAGAGGTACGAATAGGTCATACATGTAAAAAAAAATATATATATATATATATAAATACTTACATTCATATATAAGTTAACTTTAACTGCTTTGAATAGAAATTGAATTCTTTTTAGCTTTATATTATGTATTTAGAATATTTTTCTTGAGTTATTACATGTCATATACGTATATGCTTAGATATATACATATATATACATGTACATATACAAAAAAGACATGTAATTAAATTCTAATGTAAAGTGAATGAGTCTTTTAAGTATAATATATGTTATTCATTGGGTGTCATAATTCACGAGGAATTCACATACCCAGTTTTGCAGGAGTTAGCTTCATGAGGAGCGTATTAGTAAGACTCTCTTAATAGGTTTCTCCTAAGCAATTTTGTTTCATGCCTTTTATGAACTTTTTTTGCATACAGGGATTCCTATTTGGTTTTTTTCTTTAGAATTTTCTTTTTAGAAATCATATGATTTCTATTGAGTTTAATGATATCGATTCAATATCACCTTATGATATGTGAAAATTGAATTTTTTTTGAAAAACTTTGAACCCTACAACTTGGGTTCTTATAGAAATAAGATTATTTTAAATGATTTTAGTTACTTTGATATTTATTATTGATGAAACGATATAGGAATTCATTAACTAACTTTTTAAAATTGTGATTATCTTGAATTTAAATGTTTAGAATCTCTCTCTCTCACCCATTTCTTAAAAATCAAGAAAAACAATCCACATAATATGACATTTATTCCCATAAAAAATTTCATCTGTTTGGTTAGTTAAATAAATTTGTAATAAGATTCTGATGTAATAACTAAACTATTAAACACTCATATTATCATATTTGTTCCATTGAATAACAATTCTAATGAAATTTTAATTCATCAAATGTTGTAATTATAAATCATATATAGAAGATAATTAGTCACTGAGTTTTTAGCTAATTGGCTCATTTCCCACAATGAAGATTATACAGATGAGTTTCATAACTTTAATACCTAATATCGACAACAACTACTGGATTTTTTTTTTTTTTTTTAATTTTAAAAAAAATTAATCATTTTTTAAATAATTTATGTGACAGTCCACATATGAAATTAAAGGAAATGACGTGGAAAAATAATATCCGTTGATTGATTGAAATGAATGCGAACGTGGCACCAATCCTACCATGCAATTTGACAAAACTGTGCATACCCATAAAACTCCCAACTTCACACAAAAACCCTAGCACGCAGGATTTCGTACATATAAATTAACAACTTTCTGCCGCCGTCCACAGCCTCTAAAGAGAGTAGAGTAGAGTAGACGAAATAACGGAAATGGTTTCCGGATCAGGGATCTGCGCGAAGCGGGTAGTGGTGGACGCGAGGCACCACATGCTTGGCCGGCTGGCATCGATCCTTGCTAAGGAGCTTTTGAACGGGCAGAAAGTCGTCGTGGTGAGATGCGAGGAGATATGCATGTCGGGAGGGCTTGTCCGCCAGAAGATGAAGTACATGAGGTTTCTCCGCAAGCGCATGAACACCAAGCCCTCTCATGGCCCCATTCACTTCCGCTCCCCCGCCAAGATTTTCTGGCGCACCATCCGCGGGTTTGTCGC